AGGGGTTGTGTGTTAAATTATGGTGCTCGCGGCCGCGTTGGACAGGTGTCCGTTTTACACAGTTAAATTATATAGAAAAAACGCAAGGGGGGAAATGGAAAGTGACCGTTTGTACAGGTGGCCGTCTTATAGAGGTGGCCGTCAGGGCAGGTTCGACTGTACACTATTGTGTAAGATTTTCCCAAAATTTAAAAACTATAAAGTCCTATCGGGAGTCACAATTAGTAAAGGGAGAAAAAAAAAAGACCATACCAGTTTATATAAAAACCAAGAAGTACTACATAATTGCTTCCAGCCGAAAATATTAAAACTAAAGGCTTTTTTGCGGCTTGCCGATATCCTGGGCAGAACCTTGCCATGGGACACCAGTTTCCCCCTTACACTTTATACAGGGGTATCTTTTGTCTCAAAAACAAAAGTAGAATTCATTTCAGACTACTTGACATTGGACATGTTGCCACATGTAGGCCACTAAAACGGCAGCTAAGTAAATCATATGGTTGAGCACAAAATATGACCCATCTCGGGTTTAGTGATGGGGAAATCGGGTCAGAAATTTTGTAGTCTTTTAAACTTTAACCCTATCCGTTGGCCCTGGGGTCATTTTGTACCCCCAGGGTAGTATTCTTCACATTATAGAATACTTCTAGTGCGAAGATCTCTTTGAAACTCAGTATTTTTCAACTAATCATTTTGACAGACTGCAATGCAAAGCGTATGGATCGGATTACAGAGTAGATTTCCTCTTTGGAAAGTGGTGGCACAGAGTTCCCCACGTTGTATGGATACGATAGTAAAACATGACGTACGGATAGGGTTAACTGCAGGTAAAATTATTTGCTTGAAATTATACTTTTTAGGAGCACTTCTGATACATGACTTAACACAGAAACAAACTTAGTGATGGCTACTTTTTCGTTCCGATCTTATTGGTTTGAAGTACAGTCTGGCACGCACATTGCGAAAGCAACAGGACACACATTTTTCATAATGTATTAATTTCACACTATAGATCTCTACCAAAAGCAACGGACAAAGTTCAAAATTTTTTACGAATTATATACCCTATAGACTATGCCATGCCAACAGGCGTGTTGCATTCATAGTCATACTATCTCCAGATTTTTTAATTTTTGTGTGATGTAACATTGTTGAGCGCAAATACTTTCAATTTTGAAAAGATAAATAGCATTAGACTTATTCTTGACATCTAAAAGTAGAATAATCATTAGTATTAGCATTCTAGCACCCACATTGTGAACAGCTTTTCAGGTCCTAAATTTTTCCTTATGCACCATATGTACAAGCCTGGAATTGACAAATTTGTTCAACACATCCATAATTTTGGTTAACTGATAACAAAAAAATTAAAAGACACTTGAACATTCAGGAACGGCAAATTGTACAAGTTATCCGTGATTAGTTTTCCATGTTCCTGTTATCTGAATCGCGACTTTGTATTCAAAACAAGTAGGGCCTACATTTAAAAATTTTTTACTCACAAAAAGATTTCCACTCCCCGCAGAATTCGCCATGTGCATGCAATTGCTAGACCAAACGTTTAACATTACTATCTCCACAATTCGCCAGGATCAGCCTGAGCTGAGCAGAGTAACATTTCAGATGGAAATTCTAGAAAGATTTTGAAGGCACTAAATTCAATGCTGCAACTTCAATATCGAACCAACCTTTTCGGAGTGTTTTTAGTTTAGCATCAATGTTCTCAGGTTTACAAGCCTTTCTACTCACTGATCACAATCACTACCACTACCTCCATTTCTTCTTGTCTCCCGCACTGATAAGATAAGATAATACCATATAATTTCAAAATTAGCGTCCTAAATGAGAATGGCTTTGATGACACAGCATTTTTGTTACTTTTGGGCGATTTCATATTTCTTCATAAAACAAGGCCAAGCCTATTTGGAAGATTTCGTTCAAACACATTATTTTTTTTTTTTTTAAAGAAAAAAAAAGCCTTCATGGGGGCTTGTCCAAGGCATTGGTACGTGTGCCTTATCCTTTCCACCACATGTGTAGCAAGTCACACACATATATATAATATATAAAATATAATTACAACTCGCTGTGCAGCACTTCCTTTAAAAAGAGCACAATGCTTTTTTTAAACTCACACTCACCCGATAAGCCTCATTTTCTTACCAACCCTACATAAAATTAAAGAATTTAAAAAGCATAATATGAATGTCACAGGGATACATCTGCTGCTGTCACAATACCATTTAGGAAGTTCTGTAATCTGGCCATCCTATTACAGAGAGAATATATATACTCTTTGATTCAATGAAGCATGACACTTTTAACCTTTAACCCCTTATGGAGCTGTCCAAGTGATACATGCAGTTAATTCCTAGAACAAACCATAAAAACAATCATAACAAATCACTCCCAGACTATTAACGATTTACATCAAGGTCTAGATTTACCACCCATCTAATAGGCCACAAATGGTTGGTAAATGATTAAGATGCTGGACCTAAAAGCACCCAATTTGTCCAAAAGTACAGTTAAACATTTGTTCTTGTACTTGAACTGACCAAGGAATGGAACCAGAACCCTGGACACAAAAGCTAACAAATCTTCAGTGTATCTTAATTAAATCACCATATGAAAGGTTGCACGGATATAACATAGCAGAAAGAAGACAGGTCTTCATTTTTCATTGCGCATAAAAAAAGCTGAAGAAAAACATGCACATTTGTAGATAATAAAATGCACCCACAACAAAGATGTATTTGGAAAAAATGTTTAATTGGACAAAAGAATGAACAGAAAAAAAAAGAAAAGAAAAAAAAAAAAAGCAACAGACATAACCAACTGTGGATCAGTAAGATTTAACATGTTGGACCTGCATGTCTTGGTTCTTACAAAACAAACAAGGCAGGAGAAGCTGACAATGTATTAAGTAACTGGACTATAACAACAGTCACTTCATGTTACAGTTGTAACTTACAGACAACTATATAGCAAAACACATGAGAAACATCACCATATTCATCTCAACAAGCATATTTCCAGTCAAACAGGTATTTCTCTTAAATGTATGTTGCCTAATATGGGGGGAGAGAAGGAGACTCGAGTCCATTCATTGGTCTTAGGAACCACTGCAAAGCTATTTTCAGAACTCACACCTTTTCCTGTACACAAGTTCCAAGGGAGAGACTATAAATTTATTTCTATCACCCCATATTTCAGACAACAGGAAACCATGTTACACATACACTCCTTATTGTAGACCTGTTTTCCATATAAAAGTAATGAGCTAGGCATTAGCAACCAATCAACAAGCAGAAAGGTGTTGAGATAACTAAATCAAAAGGTGAGAAGGACTGCTCGACGTGATGTTGCACGCACCACACCTTAAGGGTCTCTAAGAGCTTTTTAAGTCTCATTCTCTTTACAAAGCAAAAAAGAATTGAACTTGCACAATCTTGCTCCAATGAACCTACTTAAAAACAAAAATGTCAGGGCATATAACAGCAAAAATGCCCCATCTTATGTAGACACAACCAAAGTGATTGACAGAAAGATCTTTTACTTTGATTTCTTCTTTAGCATAAGGTTCTACACCTCTGCTGAAATTAAATACACATGTTTAAAAAGGAAAAAAATAAAAATAAATAATAATCATCCACACTTCTTCACACAGCCACATTTACAGTTCATTGAGAAAGGACAGAGATTGGGAAAAAGTTTAAGAAAATAAATTATACTGGAAAATAAAAAATGTTTGTTTTGCCTCTGAACACTAAACATATCCAGTTTGACGCTTGGCGTTGTATATCTGAATTAAATCAAATTCAACAGTTTTCGTCTTCTCGTGCAACTGCAGATGATTCACAATTAGTTGCATTCGAGACATCCGATTACAACAAATGTAACATTAAACATAAAAGTTGGGCCAGAATGCCAAAGAGATTCTGAAGAGGGCACATTGAGCGACAACTTCATTCGAGGAAAGATGCCTCTACTGACATCACATGGGATGAGTACTTATGACCTGCCTGTGAAATTCTTTAGCGACCTGCACTTTAACATTATGACCTGTCTTTCAGCCCAGTTTTACTTTTGTTTATGGGGTGGAGGGGAGAGAGGAGACGAGGAGCCATAGAGACATTCCTGGAATAGTCCCAGACGAAAGACACCTCATGAGCTCAAAATTATAAGAATAATACCAACATAACATGAAAAGAACTAATTGCACTGATCTTTTCAAAGACAGCTATCACAATCTGCACGTAATACATTAATTGTGTTGAAAATTCCGTGAAACAATGTACACAAATTAACCTAGACTTAAAAAGTACAGGAGCTTTGTCTTTCACCTCATACATGTACTTCCACACTCAGTACAAGACTGGAATGACACGCAATATAACATATATTTATGTGTAGAGAATACAAATGACGTTACACAGGTGAATAACAGCACCTGAACATTTTCAACCTGATAATAAGCATGCCTTGGTGAGTACACAGGAAGTAGATAAAACCTGTAGAACTGACAGTAAAGTATTTCATTTAACACTGACATGCTCACAGCTTACAAAAATCATTCACCTCAGGAGAATATGCAACACAATGTTATGGCGATGGTCTTAATGATATAGTGCATTATTAACGCAGGCCTGTGCTAGTAAGTAAATCAAACTAAATGATAAAACGCCGGCCTCCTATGACCACCAAGTGCACTAGCACAATTGAAATTTTCTTTTCACTCTTGAAAATATTTGTGCCCAAGGAAACTGTACCGGTGGCCTAAAAAATCCAAGTATTTGCTGAAAAACCTAAAAGAAATCACATCTGACTTTGATTTATTTTCAAGCATTATATCAAATGAAGACAATATTATATTTCTAGGAAAGGGCAAAGTATATTACACACTGACAGCAATTTTGTATTTTGTTCCCCAAATCTATTACATTACCAAGAGCTCAAAGAACAACACATTTAAATTTGCGAGCTTTTCTTTTGATGGATAAAGCAGCTCGTGTAGCAGTTTCAAATACTTCCCTAACGCCTTCTTTGGTTTTGGCAGAGCATTCAAGGTAAGCATAGGCACCAATCTTTTCAGCCATGGTTTTACCATCATCGAATTTTACTGGTTCTTGTTTCATTTTGTGCAGTTCTCGAATAGTGACTTGATCATGACGCAGATCCTTTTTGTTGCCCACGAGGATGATGGGTACATTGGGGCAGAAGTGTCGCACCTCAGGCGTCCACTTCTCCGGTATGTTCTCCAGACTGTCTGGACTGTCTATAGAGAAACACATGAGGATGACGTCTGTGTCAGGGTAAGACAGCGGCCTCAGTCTGTCATAGTCCTCTTGTCCCGCTGTGTCCCACAGAGCTAGCTCAACCTGACAAAGAAATAAACAATGACAATTTAATAACAGAAGTCTTCATAAAAGTCCTTTACTGTATTCAACACTGCACTATCCCCAATAAAATCAGTACAAAACAAGGAAAAGCCTCAATTCTTCAAAGATGGTGTATTGGAAAAGACTATACATGCAAAAAAACAACAAAAACCCCCCCTACTTCCTTAATCCCAAAGAATATTAGGCCTTTTTAAAGAGCAAACAGAGCGTTACAGGAAATTATAGTTTTACTTTTACTGACCCCTGATCAGCCTCCAGACATACCATCTATCTTTGTTCAAGCTTGGCGTAACGCTTCTCACAATTCCAAACAATACAGTTTAGCGTGCACATAATGAACAGATTTTCAGGCCCCTAATTTTTCCTTACATTTATTCTTTGTACTTTAAACATGTAATCAAAGCGAAATTTGTAAATGAAAAGATTTTAGTGTCCTGCTGATTTCATTATGTCTGTGCTAAGACTGTATTTACTTGCTTGAGACAGCTACAAATGATTACAAACAGAAGAAACAAGTTAATTGGGACCATGCGCTTGAACCCCCAATTTGCATTTCGAAGTGTAAAAATTTTTTTTGTAAAGCCTCAAATAAAATATTCATAAAACCCTTTATTACTTTGAAGACCTTAGCCAGAATTAAAGATAATTGGCTTGAGTACATTGAGTCAAACAAGAAGCCCTGATAAGCACTCTTCTCTGACAGTCAAGTTACACTGCCTTTAGTGCAGAGGCCAAGTAGAACTTAAGCTACTGCAACTTCTGCACGGTCTGAAAGGGTTAATTGATAGAGTAATTGTTAAATATTGTAGGAACGAAGTGAAACTCTTTTTACTCCCATGGCTGTCTCGAACAAAATAGAAAAATAAGTCGAGGAGCGTGCAGGCCACGTCGCCAGCATAGTCTCAATAATTTAGAAGAAACTACTTCTGGTATAATAACTGTGGTAAGCGTCAAATAAATATTACTTTATTTTCACCAATTCCCCCAAATCAATACATCAAACCGGTACCTTGAAAAGCACAAGAATAAAAAACAACCACTTTATTATTCTTTTAAAGGGGCACCAGTGCATAAAATTATCTGTAATTATCTCATGTCAGCAGTTCTAATGTCTAAGATTGCTAGCACAGACAAACACAAATGCAGCAAGCGTTGTTAGATAAAAAGTAAGTCAAATGGGCAAGCAAACATCTGCAAAAACATCCATTCATCTGTACAACAGGGCTTGTCCTTCAGAATATGAACTTTTTAAGACACAAATTAAAATCAAATACCTCTTGTCTGAAACACATTCCCTGAAATGATTGTAAGACCACCTCACTTTCATTATAAATCTTGATTACCCGACAGTTTGAAACAATTTTGCTGTACATAATAATAAACAGAGGTTGTACAGTGCATCTCCCAGCTTTATGTGCTTTACAATCAAAAGTGGAGCCGAAATCTAGTTTAGAAAGGCTGCTTAAGTAGAAGGAAAAAAATTCTGAATTATATTTTCTTATGGTGCTTTTCTTGGACAATAAATCATGATCCTTTTAGGTTGACTCCACTGCATATTATTTCCCTGGCACAGGGCTGCCCACCCAACAGCATATGTTTTTACTAATCAAATAGAAAACCAGTATTCTGGCTTCAATATTTGTAATATATCCACGGATAGGTCTTATTTCCTGGGGTGTCAAGGACAGGTTGTAGTCAAGTAAAGTAATCATGTAAACAAAGGTGTAACGAAAAAGAGGTCTGCCTAGGCTTTTTAAAAATGTTTGTGAGTGTGCGTGTTGTAGTTACTGTTTACTAAAACGAAAGAAATGTTGAAACTACAGAATACGTCACAGGCCTTTATCCTGACTGCATCAAAACACTATGCACCTTTCGTAGCTATTTGTTTTAAGTTTTTTTTAAACAATTGATACATTTTTTAACGTTATCTCATTAGCCTAGGCTGTAACCCACAACACAAAAAGGCAGGAATTTTATGACGCCTTGTCAACCCAATGTTTGCCTGATAAACTGATTTCTGGCTTCGGCACTTATGGAGCCTAATGTTTTTACAATTGTTTGTTTTTGTAAAGTGTTTTACGGCACTCGCAACTCACGGCGTACAGACAGCGCTCTTTTAGTTGGATCGGCGATGGAGTGACCGGGTCACGGCGGGCCGGTCACCCAGAGGTCACTAACCCGCCCTCCCGCTACCTGCGTCGGTAGCCGGTGAAATGAATTTTTCAACACATGTTTTATCGTCTTACACAAACAAAAAATATCATACGTGAACACAAGTTTGTTCTTTAGAGAAAGCAACTAAACCTCTTTATTGGTACGAAATAGCAATACCATGGCTGCTCACGTTTTTGAGTTAGATGCTCTTAAAATGTATGTCTATTTATAGTTAGTTAGTCAAAACAACAAACACTTATTGAATGGCTAATAACTTATAAGCCTAACGATAAATATTTACAAAACTGCCATGTAAGACAGGAAAATGTGTTTAGAAATTGACTCACTCAAAATTTTGTTTCCAGCACGAACATGGAACTTGTCATGAGCATGATAGCCAAAACGCTTCCCTGCATTTATGACTTTTTGAGTCCAATGGATTGTGTATCCTCCTGAATAATGATATACTGACGTATCTTCAATATACAGCACCGATTTCTTTTCACAAAATGAACATGTACAGAATAAAACTGTAAATTTATACAATTTTTCTTTCTAAACATATCCAGTAGCACGCAATGAGGGGGCTATTTGCAGGAGATGCGACAGAAAAAATAAAACGCATTATGTCTATCTGGTTTGAGATCCTTCGTGCTCTGGCTTCCAGTTTTGAGATCGCTTGGTGGCTGCTTTCTGTGTCCTGTTCTCCTAAAAGCCCGAGAGCAAACATGTGTTGTTGTATGTGTGGAATACAGTGTTGCTATGATATGTGTTGCTTTGGGATAACTTTGCGGGGAAATAGCGTCTGAATGCGAACATGTAATTGTCGATTGCTACGGAGATTTCTGGAAGTGAAAATTGTTTGGCGGTTTCAGATGTGATATTGCAGTGTGAACATGGCTAAATCTTTCATTGAGAAGATTGAATATTGCTTCCAGTCCACTTGCCTCCTCAATTTTTGCAGTTTCGGGGGAGTATTTTCTTGTTTCTGTATAAATTGTTTGTTAGTTCCTTGCATACATGGGGATGGGGGGAGGTATGCTTGGGGTGTTTTACGATGTTAGCTTGAAATGGATCGTTGTATGCAGCCACCTAAGCGGTACCGACAAAACGGAGAAGGAATTCACATTTATGCTATTGTCAAACGCACACCACATGTTCCTACTGGTGTCAACTGCTTTTTTGCGGCATGAATTGACGTGACGTAACATCATATCTCAGTTTGATAGTTGAAATCGCGGTAAAACACTTGACCCAAATGTTAGCGGAATACGACTTCATTTTCGTCCCTCACATCAATCCCATAAACCAAGAGAATATCTCCTGCCCTTGTCTTACATAATCGGGGTTTTCTGCACTTTTTTTTGTTTGACAGTTAAATTTAAACGCCAACACACACGACAAAGTTCATTCAGAGACTCTATGCCTCTCATATGTGTGACTGACCCATTGCAGTTTAACGATTTTTACTTAGGAACACAATTCACTAACTGATTGCCAGTCACCGCAAAGTGCTGGAAAAACAAAATTCACATCATTAGAAAATATGATTTGATGGCTATCACACCGCGCAAACAGAAATAAAGACCATCGTTCCATTCTCGAATGATTTGTAATTAAATTTGAAGAGATAACATTATTAACGGCGCTTCCGATCACTTAACACTCACAATTTAAAACTGTTATTCCCAAACGAATCAATGAAAACTGTTGAAACTTTCACAAGATATCAAGAAGACGTAGACGAAGCGGAATTGGTGAAGAAATAGATTCTAGGGATAGAGTGAGCATCATTTTACGGCTCATGAAATTAGGGGAAGAAAGGCGTTCTGATAAGAACAAGATAGGACAGCACTGTGCACGAGTTGACCCCGGTCAATCCCCGACTTGACGCGTGAAATTGCAGGTCACCTGCCGCTAATTTATGGCCTACGCGGGGGGCCCAGACTAACTAAAAGATCGCTGAGATGGAATTTCGGACGCCGTGAACTGCATACGGTCATATGAGCGCGCAGTTGACATACCTAATATTTTCAGTTGGTAGGAAATTTTTAATTTTGCCCGGGTGGCGGCGGAAACCTACTCTTATCGATTTTAGACCACCAAGGGATCTTTAACGTGCGCAAGATTTTAGACCACCAAAGGATCTTTAACGTGCGCAACTTGCACACGGACCCTCCGAGATTTTTCGTCCTTGTCCGAGAAGGCTAGGTGTAGATCTTTCCTACCAGAAGATCAGGGGTGTGGCAGAAAGACAGCAGTAAGGAGGACCCAAGGAGAAGCAGCAGAAAGAGTCAGGAGCCCAAAGGAGGTGAGGGCAGAAAGTGGAAATGAAAGCAGACAACGGAACATTGCTAGAGAGCAGGAAAGGAGGTGAAAGGAAACAATTTTAGAGAAGAAAATTTTTCGGTCGCTACCCGGATTCGAACCCGAGACCTTTGAATGAGAGGCCAACACCTTAACCTGTAGGCAACGAGAGCCCCCCAATGTTTTTATAAGGACTAAGTGGCACTGACAGGCAATGCAAAGAGAATGTTCAAGTTAGACAGGTTTGGTTGCTCTTCTCCCCTTATACACCAGGAAGGTCGGCAGTGGGTTGGTGTTGCCAAATTTTACAAATTTAAATCAGAATCAAGGGCATAAGATAATCTTTTTGTAAAATCTAACAAAAACCCTAATACTGTAATGATTCCGCTAACTTCCAAATAATGGGCAGCCCTGCTAGCAGACTATGGGACACTCCGAAACATTCACTGCTTCTCGGGAAGGATACAGTGCGAGCAGCTGATAAAGTGCTATAACGTTAACAACCTGACAAGACCTTT